GTGAGATATAAAAATGAAAAATTTACACAATAATTCAATGTGCAATTTATTTAAAGTACATGTGTATATACACCAAATATACAAATATATTTATATGAAAAATAGATGCCAGTGGTCTGTGCAATATGATACTAAATAGAATACTATAGAATACATGAACCCTATATATAACCTTAAAATAATACTAAATATATTAACTATTTTTTGATATAGTTACTTTTTAGAATGACAGTCTGACGTCCGATACGTCTATTATTATTAAGACATTTGGAAAATGACAGTAGTTTCCAGGCTTTTCTCCCAAGATATAACGATTCTTATATATGTGTGTTTTCTTTCCTGAATGCTTTATTTAATGAATCTTATTATAATACCAAATGCACACCAACGTACATATAACATAGTAATGGACCTTAAATATAACTTAAAATGACCGGTATGATATCATACCTTGGAATAAGAAACGTAAATCGTTTCGCTAAACTAATCAGTAAATAATGTTCAAAGCTCACCGTCGAAATTTGAGCCTTCAAATCCAACTGTATCCATAATTATCTATGTTTGAAAGATATATTCACGAGTGTGTATTTTAAGAAAATTTTCGTTTTGGATATTCGTTGATAACGTCATAGACCCATTCTGTCCCACTTCGTCTACGCACAGCTGCGTCTGAAGATGTCTTGGTATCAGAAACAGGACGTTTAACTTTCGGATACCCCAAATTTCAGAGAAAATAATATAAACAATTAAATTTCTTGTTTGAGGCCATTTTGAAGGAATTATTTTCGTACAGTTTTAGTAGTTCTGAAGACTATATTAATTCATTCAAGGTCCAAATCAATCCCCTGGAAATGCCGCAAAATGTCCCTTTTAAATTTATATTAAATGTACATAAAACACCTAATAGATATAATAGAAAATTGCTTTTGATCCTTTTCGTTATATAAAAGCGTTGTAAGCGCGTGATATAACTAGTGCAATTCGAAGTTATTGTAGGCCTACGTTTTACTTTGTAGATTTGTAGAGTCTGTAACTTAAAATATACTGTTTTTCGTATATCATTAGAAATTTCTGTTGTTGCTCACATTGTTTCGATAAGAAAGATTACTTCGTGGCATTAAACGTGTAATTCCTATTATAAGACATGTCAGAGAGCGCCTGAACCAATTGTTTTCGCGGATGAAATTAAATTTAGGTTAACTGGTGCCAAAATGAGTCATGAACAGGATTCGATATCAAACTTATTCGGAAATTTAATTGTTGCTACGTAGAGTTTTTGCTATATACTACCTCTGTTCTGAAAGGAAAGTGCGACTGTAGGTTAAATTTTTCGTTCTGTCGTGCAGATGCAGCATTAAATGTCGGAATGTTCATTGACTATAACAGCCGCAAAATCTACACAATACCCTCACAGTGCATAAGCATACAACAATAATGAACACATACTAAACGGCGCCGACTGCCATGGTGAGAAAAAAAAACATTAAGTAAAATACAGCCCAAGGTATTTTGTTTCGTACCCATTTCCTATGGTTTACAGTGCTGAGATGCCAGCATACAAAACTGGACACAAGAAAAAGAAGTAAATAAATATCATTTCTAGCTATTCAATATAGATTATGTTTTACAACACATCTTCCTACAATTCACACGAAATGATTTCAATCGCCAAATATAAACCAAAGGATTCAGAAGGCTATTTGAGGTAAACAAAACGCCACATGCTGTCAAAATTTGACTATGTTCAGCGATAAAATCCTCCCGAGTTTCCCAATTGACCTCTACGAAAACTGAAACTATAGAAAGGGGAAGGTAACATATTCCATATAATGAAGCTGTTAAAATCATCGTTATCAAAACTTTCATATCATTCGCAAGTTCAGACGAATTTCTTGGCTTCATTTCTGCTACAGGCTCATTGTGGCGTTTTGGAGTTGTGGTATTTTCAGGAACTATTGCATTCTTAAACAAGCCTTCGGAGCTAACTTTCTTATTGACATCCTTTTGTGTAGTTGCTTCAATCCGTGTGACTTGGGTTTGTTCAATGTTTGTATCAGCCGGAATCTTGTCTCCAGTGTCAACAAAATCATTGACTTGTAAATGTTGGCGGTTGGTCTGCAATCGAGATTGGATTCGCTCTTGTGCTGCTGAAAACTTCTGAAGACGTCTAACCTTGATGCCGATGTAGATATACATGCAAATGATACTGAACGAACAGAAGAAAGTTATTGTCATAAATAGAACGTACCCATATCTGCCACCAGATATAGTAGGAAAGCATTTTTTACCTTTAGTCACAGGTTGGTACAAGGTACCAAGTATTGCTGCAGAACAGATTACGTATAGTATGACAACTATTGCCGCCATTTTCTTTTTAGACATCCATGCAGTGTATGCATAAGTAATTCGCAGTACCAGAAATCTATCTACTGTTTGAAGCAATGCCATAAAACTGGTTATGGCTCCAAATACCATGTTCATATATAGAGATATATAACAATAAACTCCTTCAAAATTATCCAGAATCATCATTATAGTTGACACTCCTACAGCCAAATCTGTTATAACTTGTCCAGTAAAACATGCTTTAACTCTTCCTGGTATTTCTTGATTCTTGAAAATCATCAACAGACTTATTCCATTTAACAGTATACATGAAGTTCCTTGTACTCCACCCATCACAATTACCGAAATTGGGTTGGCAAATGTTACATTGGACTGTGCTTCGGACATTTTGACGTTTCCGGATATGTATGCGTCGCTGTCTGTTCTAATGATATTAGTCTTGTTAGTATTCGGGTCTCAAAAATCATACTACATTAATAAGTCAAGTTTCTAGTTATTAAACCCCGCGATTCCAGTGCGTCTGATGATTATTGTTTTTCTCAACAACATGCTTTATTGATTCCTGCTAAACATCAGAACCTTATTTGATAATGATTCTCCAGTTTCTATCTAATGATACATGACAGCAATGTCTTACATAAATCTTTGAGAGACGATGATTTCACCTGTACTTCGTATACCAAGAAGCACCACGTTTTGCACCATAGAAGCTATGATGGTCGTTTTTGCGCCACGTTTTGCACCACAGAAGCTATGAATGTACGTTTTGCACTACTAGACTCTTAAGCCGTCGCTATTAGCCGCCGGTTGCTCTGTAAAATCAAATTTTGAAGACATTGTATGTGCTCATGTTTATATTTTTTCTTATCAACGCGAAGACATGCTAAGACTAACAGTACTATTTTGAGGCTGCTTTTTCAATTCTCATAAAAATAATGGACAAAATTCAAAGAAAGTTTTACTTTGCTCTAACAATAGCCAATTCAGCAAGTCAGAAACTAGCTTAAAATATCTGATTAGCCCGTCGGTTTTAGTTGCCAGCCAGTCACTTTTAACAAAATAAATCGGATCAAGGGTATATGCACCACAGAAGTATAGCCTTGTTTATACGGCGACATTTATACTATGTTTTTTGCGCAGGTGCAAATTTGCTTATGTGAGCAAATCAGTCTGTATGAGCATATTTTAAAATTAAAAATCTGCTACAGTCTGTGAGTAAATGTATATTTTCTGCAACCGTCAGCAAATTTTGTCGTATGAACATGTAGCAAATTTACTTACAGTAATTATTTAGTATCTATGTTTATATGGTGTTTTGGCAATGTTCTAACCTCATTGGACAAGAAAGTTAACCAGATAAGTTAATACACGCTTATTGACAGCTTAGTTTTTAAAAATGAACATTTGGCAACAGTAATAATCACTAGTATAAAATATTTAACAAACATTGCTTACAAACTTTTTGGTTTTCAATAATGGTCTGCCTTAAGTGATAAATAACAGTTTTGTCCAAATGGAATTTTGTTTTCAAGATTAAGAAGTCAATGATAAGAAATTTGAGAGGGAACGCATAATTTTCATTTTTATCTCTGTATTTGGACTATTATTATCTTGTATTTCAATATAAACCTTCAATTACTCCCTGCCACTGTTAGAATACATCTTTATGGTTGTCATTTTTCATCAAATTAGTGTTTAATGACATATTTTAATTCTATGTAAATAATAATTATGTTCAATTTAGTTTGTAATGTAAAATGTAATGAAGGTGATAAAGATTAATTAGTTTTAAATTATTGTTTTCGCATAGTATATATTTTCTTATTGTTTAATCAAATAGCCAATTATTAAAGGGATTCTACGGAGTATTTGTCATTTTCGGTCTATATGACCTAAAGAGCTGAAAATCACCATTAATACCTAACTTAATTCCAGCCTATGGTAGATTTTTGACTTCTCGTTTTTTTTTTTAAGTCTGTAGATGGTCAATGTGAACATTCCCTGCAAATTTCAGCTTTGTAACTTTTCAAGAAAAAAATGTATTTGGATATAAACATTTTTGGTTTTCACCTCACTACGACCTTGTCTCTTCTTTCCTACCTCTCAATTTCACCTGTATCTTCTTCTTACCTTTCTTCACCTCTTGTCTCTTCTTTCCTTCATCTCTACACCTCATGACTCCTTCTTCCAAAATCACTCCGCCCTTTTTTCCTACCTCTCTACATCCTTTGTTTCTTCTCTTCGTCCTACTCCTCTACACCCTGTCTCCTCTTTCCTTCTTCTCTACACCCATGTCTCTTCTTTTTCCTTACCACTCCCCGTCTGCCGCGGTGGATCAGACGTTTGCTCGCTAACCTGAAGGTCCAGGGTTCAATCATGACATAGGTCGATGTAATACCTTCCTTTCCCCCTGTCTCTTCTTTCCTTTTCCTCTACACCCCACATATGCTTCCTACCTCACAATTGTGTCCTCTCTTTCCTATTACACCGTCTTTATTCTTCTCTTCGCCTCCTGTATCTTCTTCCTATCTCACCATTATTAATCTCTCTAATACATCCGGAACATTTTGAATTGCTATCTAATTTTATGAAATGCGAATCAAAAATTCAAAATTTAGTTTGACTAATTGCTTCTTAAGGTGTACCGGGAGCGGTTTTCTATCTTAGGGTGAACTTGAAGTAGTGCTATTTCTAATGGTGCATTTGGTGTGGTGCTATTTCTGAGGGTGTTCTGGGAGTGGTGCATTGGAAATGCAATTTAGAACAAAAGCTTTTAGATATAAATCATTTTTAATAAATTCATTTACATGAATTATTACACGTGTCGTTAGGTGTCCCTTTCCTCAAACAAAAATAAACTTCAACATATTAGTATAGACTTTTGAGTATTATTATTGACAATGCGTGTAGATGGTTTGCCTGCAACAAGCAGTAAACAAGCTACTTCAACAACCTTCTTATATTATGGCCAGTAACTGAATGTATCAAATGATAAACACACCAGCCTAATAAATGTTCAGATTGTAAAAAAATCTGGAATAAGTTGGAACTTGGAGTAATGACTGCAAGGTTGGAAGCTATAAGAACCAGACTAGTCTATATCATTCTAATCGTGGAGACCAAAAAGAACATAATTACAAAACGAAATTGTAATCTCATTTATTAGATAGTCTATATATACTGAAAATCAAAAGAAATATATCTTTATTTTTAATTGTTTATACATGAAAGTAAAGCTATCAGAGAAAGTCAGTGTAAAATAGTGTTTATGGCAACAACTAGAAGCAGTTGAAGGTTTAATTAAATGAGTTATTGACCACAGAAACATGCATCTTTACAATTTCAAGCTGCTCTAAACTTCGTACTTGTTTGCAGTGATTTGATTGGATTGTAAGTTAGAGAAAACTGCCAATCAGAGTCAATGACATGAAATCTGTAAACAATAAGCCATAATGTGTAGTTATTCTATTGAGACTATTTGATTGACTGTATTCACTGGCGTACAATCCAATTACATTGTGATACAAGAAAGGTGACTATTGCAGTAAAGGTATAAGACGCAGTTCGCAATACCTTTCATTACCTTTCATCATTTTGAAAATGCAGAACAAGTAGTTGCCAGTGTCTGTTATCAGTAGTGAAGTCTTTTTGCCTAACAGTATATTCTATATCTCAATTTCTTCCAATCTAAGGGATGAAAACACAAAATGTGAGGATATTACAATTAAAAATTTGACAAATAATACAAGTGATGGATTATTTCACTTCTTTTTAGCTGTAAGTCCTGCTCCTGCGTTAAATTTAAAGAATATGATATCACCATCTTCCACAACATAATCTTTTCCTTTCTGTTTATATTTACCAGCATTCTGTAATACAAAATAATATATTGAAAGTTTAGGTCTAATTTTTTGGATTTATTGAGGATGATGATTCAATGCATGATGAGATAAATTCTGCCAATATTGTAACTATTTATCAATTTTTTGTAGACTACAAAGAGAAAAACTTTAATTCTGCTTAATGTAGCTTTGACTAATTTGTTCTCTTGGGACTATTTTTATATAAAAAAAATGTGAATAGTATATCTTGAAGAAACGAGTGTTAGTTGAAGATACAAATATTTGTTGAAGATACAAGCATTTCTTGAAGATACAAGTATTTGTTAAAGAGACAAGTATTTGTTGAAGATACAAGTATTTGTTGAAGAGACAAGTTTTTGTTGAAGAGACAAGTATTTGTTGAAGAGACAAGTTTTTGTTGAAGAGACAAGTATTTGTTAAAGAGAAAAGTATTTTTTTCCGAAGAGATACAAGTATTTTTTTTAAGAATTAATTATTAACACCTGCCAAGATTTGTCTTTAGGAGTGGCATTAAATCAAAGATGAGGTATAAAGTTGATAATAATAACAATAGTAATATACCTTTACAGCTGCCTCAGAACCAAGTTCTTTAAAGTCATCATAAGAATAGATTTCAGCCATAATAAAACCTTTCTCAAAATCTGTGTGAATCCTGCCTGCAGCTCCAGGCGCTTTGGTTCCAACCTGTAAAAAAGAACAATCTTAAACTCAGTTTTTTATGACATCAAGCTAGTCTGAAAATTTTACTTAGTTTTAAGTTTAGCTAATCAAAGGAATTATCGGGTCACAACAGGGTTGTTTGAATCTTAAACTGCAATGCAATACAACTTAATTTGAATCCTGCAAAAAACTACAAAATGTGTATTGTTTACCATTTATTATCATTTCAATCAATACAGTTTGTTAAAGTGATTTACCAGCCAATAAGAATTAGATATCTGTAGCATTTTTCAGAATTAATAGCCATCATCTGGTTAACTTGCAATTCACTTCAAGGACACCTATCATGTCATTGAATCAATATCACATAAGTCTTACCTGAATGGTCCAAGCTTTAACTTCATCTTTACCAGCAGTAAAGAAATATATCAAATTTAAAGCCTTATATCCATTAACTATTATTTTTTCTAAAGCACTGTCAATAAAAACCAACAGGAAAGAAAATAAATGAAACACATTTATTTTATATAGAAAACAAGGATCTTGTTTACCAGTTGGTCCTAGGCTAACTTATACTAGGTCACCAGACTTTCACATGCCAACAAAGATTAGAAACAATGCAAACAACATGTTTGGTGACGGTATGAGAACCACATTGAAAAGTTGAAAGTAATAAATTATTACTAATAATTATTTTATTTCTCTATAACTTCTGCTTCTAACATCCCAATGAAGGATTGATTTGTTTGATGTAACTAAGCACATAATGTCAAATTCTAATAGTGTTACACCCAGTTATCAAATAGGACTTAAAAGGATCAAAGAAAGCTACCACAGACCAGAGGTCATGCACTCTAGATTGTCTTACCTAGTGGTACCTAATTCTTTTAATTTGGCTTGTCTTTCTTCTTCTGTTTGTAAATCAAACAACTCTAATTCTAGAGCTCCACTAAATGGTATACATAAAGCTGCCTTGTCATTGGCATCAATCCATTCTTTAATTTTCACCAACCTACAAATTTTTACTGCATCATTAGAATAAGTTAAACCTCTTTACAAGCATATCATGAATTAGTAAAGGATAATAAGACCAAGTGAACACTGAGCCAAATGTTGTTGAAACATGCCTTTTGATTGGCTGTTTTGAATTAAACCAGTGTAATTCGATTGGTTAAAGCAGAAGTTCAGGCAAGGCTTATTCATATCATATGAGAAATTGGAAGGTAGTTGTAAGATCTTAACTGAAGCGGTTGATTAAAAAAACAAAAGATTATGAAAGGTCTAATATCAATTGTACCCTGTACTTTCTTATAAATAATAAAATTTACATTACTTACCATTTATTTTTCTTCCTAACATAATCTTTAATAGATAAATTAACTAAATATATAACAGGTTTAGATGTTATAAACAAATGTATATTTAAAACTTCAATCTACAAAATAAAAATAATTGTTAATAAATAAACAACTAGTTAGAATATTGAAATGAGTAGATGTTTAAGTGTTTTTCTAATTTTTTATGTGTATTGGAGACACTGATAGCATTGGTTTTTCAGTCAGTCATCTATGGTTCTTACAATTCCACTATAACTAATGATTACTGACGTCACTATTACAAGATTCTTAGAAAATACCAAAAGCTTTATTGTCCCATTAAACTAAGTTCGATTTCCATGGACATCTCTCTAACCTGCAACACTGACGGGGGAAACCAGGTATAAAAAAATTAAGCACTGTGGAACACTCACTACATTAAAGACATGCAGAGTTAATGGTTAATTTTGAAAATAAAATGAAAATATTCACCTCAGCCCCATTCCATGTTTCATTTCGTACCCATTTTTTACTTTGTAAACAATCTCTGACACGAACTAAACAATCCTACAAAAGAAATTCAATAGTCAAACACCTCTAGTTTATCTTATGAATTTATCACTAGAGATATTATATAATCTTATTGAATATTATAATTTTATGTTTATTGTAACAATTCATAATTATTCATTATTACAAAACTTACATATTCTATTTTTTTCTTCTTATCAGCTGATTTTCCTTCCCTGGCCACTGTTTTCTCGAGTGGTTCTAACTGTTTGATGACATAATCTAAATCTTTTAATCTAAGTTCATCATGTATTGTTTGTAAATCTCGTACTGGATTAACTTCACCATCAACATGTATTATATCATCATCATCGAACGCTCCTGTCGCAATCAAATAATTTGAATATCAAAGAGCAAAATTTGATATTTGGAGTTTGATGGGGTTCTATGCCACAGTCATATAGAGCATTGGTTCTTTATATGAAGTCATTTTCTCATTAGTCGTTCTAATCTTTGTCAGACCTTGAATAAGTCATTTTTCTTCATAATTCCAGTATGAATGTCAAAAGGTTTGACCAAGGACCAGTTGTAGAAAGGATTCTAACCAAAAAATTCTTTTGTCTACAGACACAGATAACAAAAAGATATTTAATTGATTTCTACTTACTTGTGACATGGAACATGGCATCACATGCTTTAATATTGGATAAAAAGGCATTTCCTAGACCTTTTCCTTCATGAGCTCCTTCTACCAGACCAGCAATATCAACTACTTGTAAAAACGCAGGTACTTTACTAAAAGAATTTTAAATTTCATTTACTATTTAAGTTTATGAAAAGAAGAATTTCTTGATGAAAGAAGACCAATCTATCATAATGTTTCTTTGTACCAATATTATCAAAATTTGACCAAATTTTCATTTTGTTTTCTGTTTGCTTTTATTTTTACTATAGAGGAGTAGTGGCTACAATAAAGATAGCTTGCCAGGCAAGGTAACATACGCCCACTGGCAGCTGTCAGAAATGATTAAACAGTCTTTAGTGACTACAGGGTTGCACAATATAGCTAATAGAGTGAAACGTCAAGTCAGACACGATATTTCGGTTAAATATTATCTGATCATCGCGAAAATGGATAGGGATCATCTTCATAATGACATAAACGACACAAAATAAAAATCAAAAGAATCTGTAAAGAATTGTAGCCTGTAGAGTGAGCATGAGTTGCACAATATAGCTAATACAGTAAAACGTCAGGTCAGACACTATATTTCGGTGAAAAATCATCCGATCATCATGAAAATCGATAGATCATCATGAAAATCAATAGGGATCATCTTCATAACGACATAGACATACAAAATAAAAATCAAAAGAATCTGTAAAGAATTGTAGCCTGTAGAGCGAGCACGAGTTGCACAATATAGCTAATAGAGTAAAACGTCAAGTCAGACACGATATTTCAGTGAAAAATTATCTGATCATCACGAAAATCAATAGGGATCATCTTCATAATGACATTGACATACAAAATAACAATCAAAAGAATCCATAAAGAACTGTAGCCTGTAGAGTGAGCACGAGCCAAATGTGAACGGACAGACGGACGGACCGACGGGGTGATTACAATATACGCCCATCTTACGTGTGGGTGTATAAAAATGAAAGCTATTAAAAACAGATTGAAAGTTTGGTGTTATTTTTAGTAAGACAGCCAGAATTTTGAGTGATAACAGTCATATTTACCTGCAGCCTAAATTCGTGAAATATAATGTTGTACTAAACTGATACAGATATATACAAATTTTAGGTTGTAACATTGCGGTAGCGTTAAGTAATGTTACAAAAGCACAGGCACAGGTATTCAGGTATACCAGATTTTTTCTATTGCCACACCATTTCAGCTTATCATATGGACACATCTACTCACCTTGCAGGCTGATGATGTTCACATAAAAAGTCAAATCTGGCATCAGGAACTGGCACTCTACCTGTAAAATAATAGACAATCATAATGATGCCAAAACATAGGAGTGAAAATTGTACAGATACATATAGGAAACATATTTTTGTATTTCATATCAGTGTTATAAAATTTGAATCAAAAATTGACAAAAATGAAATATGGTTGAACCAACAGCTTATCAAATTTTTCCTACCTAAATTGAACACGGCTTGTGTTCTTTAGGATTACAGATGTAGAAACTGGTACACGAGGGATAAGATTTGAATGATATTTACAAGCAGAGAGCACATAGAACACAAAACACATTGAAATATATTATGGTATATCACACTTCTTTAATAAAGTACATAATGGTTTGAATAACACAATTTACATTGCCGTCGAAGAGGGACAAATGCCTTATTGCTTCCCTTTTGGGCTAGATAAGAATCTAAACTAAAAACAAATTACATACTTTCATTAGGGTCTATAGTGCAAAAAGGAAAATTTTCTGCAGTTGCTTGACTCTTTGTTAAAACATTGAAAAATGTTGACTTCCTAAAAAAATACAATTTGGTTACAAATTGGTACAGTACATTTACCTTTTCGTAATCTTAAGTATTACATTGGACCATTACAATTTGCTGTGATATTGCCAATGATAAAACTAAGCAAAGACCCTTCAATATTAATAATAGCAGCATTTGTAGTATGGTAGTGATGCTATAAATACATGTTTGTGAGTAACAGCACAGCACATCAGTTAATAAACTATAACAACCAATCAAAGCAATAAATTGCTTCTATGACTCAAAAATATCCCAAGGAAATAAAAATTTGATTTTTACTCAGTCTTTAAAAGATTTCTCACATGAAATATTTCGATTATTAATTGCCGTCAATGACCAATCTCAATTTGGTAATTGACACCCAGCCTCTACTGACTACTCACAATCCCTTTACAAGATGATTCAAGGAAGAAATTGTTTTTGAAACCTACCCAACATTAGGTAAACCGACTATACCAATTTTCAATGATGTACCAACTCTACCAATCAATGGAGGAGGCTTATCTACTTCCTTCTTTTTAGGTGGCATATTTTCTGAAACATTTATTTAAATTAACAGGTGACATACTTTCACCGTTATATTTCTGAATTCTGCACACACTTTGAACGTGTTTTCATTTCATCACATTTCTGGTTCTTCAGAAACACGATCATTTCTTTTGACACTTAGATGATACTATTAACCCTCTACTTTGAGTTTAAACTCTGTTACTGTCAATACTTTGTCTACAAGTGAATATAAGGTTCAGTGGTTTAACAATATTACATTTGAAATAGACGCACTTCTCACCCAGAAAATTCATCTGAAAATTACCTACTTTTCGGACTGAACATTTCCCTTTCAAAAATTATGTTTAGGCCTACAAAAAAATAACTTTTCCAGTGGCTAACATTTTCATCAAGACAATCAAAGACTCTCTAGTATTTTGTAGCTGATTTTGCAATTCATAAATAAATGATTGTTAAAATTAGTTCAGATAGTTAGACAGTAGGCCTAGTTATGTTTATTTAAGACAAACATTAGATGATCATAGGGAGTTTATGAAAATACCTCCACCAATTTCTCGAAGATCATCTCCGATTTTGATTGGTTGTCACAGGACTAGGAGAATATCAACTTCACATCATTTAGCTTTCGATGGACTGATACAGTGATAGTGATGTTTACAAGATTAGTACCTTCACTACCGGTAGGCTTTCAATCTAAAGCTTCTTCCTCTGCAGAGAAAAAGTGTGCCATCGGTGGTGATTGTAGACGTCATAGGAATATCAGACTCTACATGTTTAATAAGCCCTTAGTGCTTAATACAGATCGAAGATCAGGTAAATCAGGTAAGCCGTTACACGTTCTGTCACAAAGTGTTAACCTGGGTTTAGTTAGTTTTAATCTTGACAACAAAACCCTTCCCTTCAGATCTTGAGATCTATCGCTTTTTTTAAGGAGAACTCGATATAAGATCAAAGCCTTATGATAATAGGACAAAATATTGAACGAAAGTCACAATCGAATGTTCTGTGTTACCTTACTGTCTTTCAATTTGAGAGAAGGCCTGTCAAAATCTGGTGTAACTGCAGATCAACCGGCCAACGTGTTGCCCAATATGGTGAAACATTAAATGCGCAGACTCACTACCGCTCCATTTCCGGTAATTTTAAAGCTACCATGATCTGATGAAAAACTAAAATCTTTCTAAAATAATTTTTTTTATTTCAAATTATCTGTTACACTTTAAAATCTTACTTAAATTCTGTGATCCATTTGACCTTAGTCTAAGAATAATTTAGCCAAGCTTTTTAATTAATAGTGTTCACAGCTCACTGTTGGAATTTGAGCCTTAAATGTAGATGTGTGTTTGAAAGTTACAGGGACAGGTGTGCCATTTTCAGGGGTTGATTTGGGTCTATATTGAAATAGTCTTTAAAAGTAATAGAAAGGTAAGAAAATTACATAATTTGTTTTTCTATACATGGCAGAGTCGTCATTTTAACATTCAAACGCTGATAATTCTGGACACACATTGCTAAAATTTCAACGGTGAACAGTAACACTATTACTGATAAGTTTAGCTGAAATGGCTAACCTGTCCGTTTAAAATGTCAACATATATTTTCTTGACACTTTGCCATATAGAAAAGACATGTAGGAGTGAAGAATCCTTATCCTTATTTTATAATCCACTCTTAGTCCATCTAGAACTATTATTTCTTTGTGTTCTACTATGAAGTATACATTATTCAGCTATTGTGGGCATGATATTCAAGTCTATTATCGAAAGTTATAAGTTTCTCAACTATGAATAAACAAGTATGTTTCATGGACATGTGATTTCTTTAAAGTGGAGCCAAGCATGAATGAAAAATGAATCAATTCTCCTACATGGTCCAATGAGAAGGATGCGAACTAAATGGAAACTAAAACTGATACATTTTCAGTATATCAAGGGCGGTGACCTATCTGTGTCAAATCATACCAAAAATCTAATTTGTGCCAGTTATTGTTACTTTAATCAAACACACAAACTTTAATAAAATTCTGACATAGACTGTTCTCTTTATAGCGTTCACATGCCAACAAATTTGGATGTCGAGGGCAATAACTCAAATTCCTTTGATCGAAAAATTGTCAAATTCAAACTTGACCAAGATCTCATTAATATAAATGATCACACCAAATTTCATTTAAATCAGATGAAAAGTGTAGTCTGTCTATTGTGTTCACTAACAAACTTTAACATGTTTTTCGTACGTCAAGAGCAGTAACTTAAAAACCATTCATCAACAGATCGTCAATTCATACATGTCCAGGATCTCATTGATATAAATGATTACACTAAATTTCATTAAAATCAGTTAAAAACTGTAGTCTCTATTGTATTCACAAGCAAATTGCTTGTAATGTGGTCCTATAAAAAGGAAAAAACAGGGAAGAAATTTACCAGCTGATGCATTTTGGACTTCAAACTTTGACCTTTTATCCCGATGTTCACATTATATTTCTTTTATGGCCCCAATGAATGTTACTTGGAACTGTCAAGGAAACAATTCCTGAGCGTCCCTGAAGGAGGCCTATGCTCTCTTGAAACATGATGGACTTGGGGACTACTTATTTTTCTAATGCAGAATATATATATTGTTGAACCATGTGATGTGTTTTAGGTATCATCATTGAACAGTTTCTTTGTCTATTTTATTTCACATTTCCATGAGAGCAAATAAAAACAAAGGTGGTAATTTTATCTTAAGGCAAAACAAATAAATATATTAAGTATACATAAAGTCATTCATAAATAACAACAAAATAAAGCTGTATCCATATTTCATAAGAGTTAAAGGAATACTACCTCTTAGAATGATCATCAAATCCAAAGACTCAAACTTGGTCATTAAGTGTATATATTCATCAGTTGGACTTACTAGGTGACATTATCAAAGAGTCGAATATCTATACAAGACATTAAACAAATTAATTATTGAAAAATTTTTGTTTTGGGATTTATTGGATTAAAAGAGATTCTGTTAAGAGTTTGTTGTATAGTTATGACAACAGGTAAGTCAACTGATGAACAAAGACTCATTTTGGCCAATTTAAAAATTAATCTTGTTTTCGTCATTCTAGAAGGTTGTATATATTTAAGAACCAATTGATTTAGGTCGCATTGAGAATGATTCAAGTTGGTCTTCAGGCGGCAGAAGTTTATTTAAGTTTTCCAGCTTAGGTATAATGCCATCCATTGTTTTCTGAATCTTTTGAAGTGTGGCCAAAGTCTCATTAATTCTTCTTGTTTGTTCGGCATATTTTGAAAATTTCCTTTGCCTCTCATTTAGTTTATTAAGTAACATGGCAACGGTGTGGTCGATTTCCTTGATGCGAATACACAAAGCATTTTGATCAAATGCCACAGCCTCAGACAATTGTTTTAAGTGCTCTTGATAACGCATACACATTAACAATAATTGTCTGTAGTCTAATTTATCCAGTAAATCTGATTCGCGATTGTTTGCGTTATTCAAAGATCCTTTCATGATGGGTAAGAATACAGGAATTGAGTCGAGTTTCACCACTTCTGGATCAACAGATTTTGATGTATTTCCCTCTGCTACCACAACAATATCATGCTTTGGTGTTCCCCCTGCTGATTCACGGTCAAGCTTGGGGCTCGATTTCAGTTTTTTACCAGAATTTGGTGAGAGACGTGGAGAACTGTCTATGGGTTTACTAATGGAATACTGAGTATAAGGAATTTCTTCATCTCTTTGTGACTTGAGTGTGCTACCAGCAGCCCCAGCTGTCATTGAGCTTTGATCAGAACCCATTTTCTTTTTACATTTGATAGCTTCAACTTTTATCTAAAATGAATCAAATATTGAATTAATAAATTATAACTCTATCATCATTGCCTTTACCTGATATAAAAAGGCCTAGCCTACATCACTCTCATCAGCACTAGGCTGGTAGAGCTATTTTTTTCATATTTCATTATTTTCCGTCCCTTTTCAGTTTCACTCAGTTTTAGTTTCAACAAGAGGAGTCAGTCATTTGATTTAAGAATTTCACATGTCCGTAAAAGATCAGCTATTTCTGCTTTCAACAATGCAAAGCCTACAGATATGAAAAAGGCTAAATTACCAGTAATCATATCGTAATTCTAATCAACATAATAGTTCTACTGCGTTAAATAATTTGAGTGAAGAAGATAGTCATCTCACCAGCCATTGGCATTAGTGTCTCCATCTAACGGTAAATGAAGAAACATTATCCAGACTATTTGCTTTTCCACGAAAGTTCAGTCTGGATGTTCAAGACATCGGGCACCGGCTGGTCACGTGACTTTGTTATTTCACTCCGCCATTTTTATTTTAAGGCACTTCCTGCGAGTTGAAGTATACTGTTTTTATGTGAAAAACTCATTGATCCCTTTGTTTTATGTGTTAATCACCAATTAATTGGATTAATGGTTCAAAAGGGGCCACAGAATACCTCGAGGCTGGAGACACGCCAGGTGTGTATTGGATACGTGTCGTAAGACATCTGCCCAACCTTTTTGAGTTTGTGTGACGTCTTTGTAAAAATATTTTAATTTTCACCTGATGACCCATTTCCATTAAAATTAACGTATTCTGTTCATGTCGTCTTACTAACTTTTGCACAGTCTGATTTCATCCTATGCTTTATATGTTGTTTGGAAGAATATTGATTAAAAATTTAGTTAGAGTTTATTAGGCTAATAGAATAATAATAATAGCATTTAGCATGCTACACGATCATTATTTCATTTAGACCTATTATAGGCCTATTGTGTTTAGCTGAATTTCAGGCCTACTAGACTGACTCTTCTGACTATGAAGCTTTAAGATGAAAGTTTACTACTGGAATGTCATTTGATTGATAATGTTTCAATTTAGTACGCATGCAAAATCAAACATAATTAAATAAAGCTGTTGTTATACTGTTTTCGTTGTTACTATTAAATTAACAAATAAAAAATAATTGAATGATGCAAATATTACTTAGTTATCCTATCAGCCATGGGCAAGAATATAAACATACTCAGAATTTTGTTCCTTTTGTGAGAAGTCACCAGACATATTGGCCCTAAGCCCTCATCCTGGAGTTCTTTTTAAAAGCGTTTAACAATCACAGAGCATATTTTGATGTAGACTAGTAGCTTGTCTTTAATTTGGATTTTAACACTGTTTGATGCAGAACTGTACAACTTGAATATTTAACATCTTGGACCCATGGTTTTCAACCATTTTAGTTTTATTACCCTTTTCATTATTGATCAATTGCATTACCCCCTTTCTCTCTATACTATTTCATGATTTTATCTTAGGTTTTCCTGCAATCATTTTCTTGTTTGAGAATATAGCCTGATTTAGCCTGAAGAATTTACAACTTTCTTGATACATATTGCCCTTCGTAAGTAATGAATCCATTGGACTCATTGTGCCCTAACAAACAGTATTTTCCATTTGTAGAGCTCCACACTATGTCCATGCGACTAGTGTCTAGTGGAAGTTACAATGTACGGGCATCAGAAATGGCACACATTCAAGATAGATCCCAGAAAACTGTAACCTGTGTTGTCCACTTTCTTGATGATACAGAGCAAGTTTTTGAAGTGGATGTGAGTAATATCTTGTATTTGTTTTGCAAAAGCATGAGTTTTGACCTTTTTAAAAATATTTTATTTCTTTCCATTGATAGATATTTATATCACTAGAACCTTATCCCTAGGCTACCAATAAATTATTATTGAGATCTTTTGGCAAATGCTATATTTAAAGTGCATGAATTAGATTGAAATCGTTTTTCTTGTGTTTTCTTTAGATGGGGCAATTTCCTTATCTCTTAGGCAAATTTATGTTATGACTGTTCTTCTGTTACAAATCATTACAACATTTGACTAAAAACAATCTTGTAAACAAATATTATTTTTTTCGTAATGTCTCTATTTATATATTCTAACTCTTAGAAGTTGGCCAAGAGATAAATCTGAATTCTAGTTCATATTTTCCTCTGGTAATTAATGTCACCTGAGATAAGTCATGTGTCAGGGCTGCAGGTTGTTTCAGAATATATTATGAAAATGCTCTGATAAACCTAGAGATCAATTTAAGTTGTATCGCAATTCGTGAGTCAAAATGACTCCATTTTGAGATCCAGAAATTCCTGTGATTAAAGTTTATCATGACAAATCCTATCAATTTGTATATAGTATTAAATATACATTATACAACTATTACTGATAATTCCAAATTAACTTGATGAGCCACAACTGGAATTTTGTGTGATAAATTCACTTGAACCATGGAAACACCAAAAGTATTTGATTTTGATAACTAGCCTTGATTGTAACAAAATGTAATTATGGTGAATTATTTCTAGAAGAGAGGTAAAGCTCAACAATTATTAGATAAAGTATTTGAACATCTAGAATTGGTAGAGAAGGATTATTTTGGCCTACAATATGTAGATATTCCACAAGTTTTAGTAAGTATCTATTTATCTACAAGTTAAAGTATTATTTTCAGAGATCCAACATTGTCAACATGCGTCTGCAATCTACCAGACAATGAATGTTGCCTAGTCTTGCCTAAGGAGTATTTGTCAATGTCAATGAAAGCACTGGCCAAGGTCACAGAATAATAGATATTGATAATATGAAAACTAAATGCTAGATTACAAATAAAAAGACACACATGCTCTCTGACATAAATATATTGTATATATTATTGGCATCAGTCCTGGAATCAGTCTAGCTGACAGAAAGGACAGACTTACTGCAGCGTTAATTCTGACAGAATTATTTTACAGTAAATTTAGTTAAAGCAATTTTATTCGTGCTTACATGACTTGTCTTATTGTTTTTTATACAATGAAAAACATTGTCAAGCTATAACGAACTTCGTCTTATACCTTGACTGCAATAGCTATGCTGCTTGTATCAAAGAATGCTGTGACTTGATTGGATTGTACTGTAGTGAATACAGCCAATCAGGGCATTCAAGAGAATAAAATAACTGTCTTTCTGTCAAGAGCACTGATTTGCTGTATTTGCTGGCTATTGCAGTCAAGGTATAAGACAAAGTTTGTACATAGCTTGACATTCTGAAGATGTTTATGACCCCCAAAAAAATATTAGTTATTAAGTGCTTGGTGTGTGTGTGTTATCTTTGCCTGGAGAGCTATCTTTAATTTGAATAAATATATATATATACAGTAATGATTTTAATGTGGTTGTGTTTACATTATTGTAGAGGTGGCTAGATCCTTTAAAAACCATTAAGAAACAATGCAGAAGTAAGTGTATTTTAACATATGTTTCATTTCCTTGAAATATTAGATGATTTGATTTAAAGGCCATGGTTCGTCAATATCGGTTTTGATTTGAGTCTTGAAATTATGTAAATAGTTTTCAGAAGTACTAGAACTGCAAGAAAAAGCACATAATCCTTCAAATATATTTCAAACTAGAAATTTCACTTCTGTATTCTATTTATATAGGTCAAACCTGTTGTTATTTTAACTTTTATTAACACAGGTAATTTTGAACGCAAATGAACACTATTACTGATTAGCTCAGCTGTAAAATTTCTAGACCCGTCCATTTAAACAATTTAACCAAAATATTGTACAAATCTGATCATATAATTAAAATAAAACCACTTATTAAGAACATTCTCTACAACTGTAAATAAAAGTAAATAATCTAAAAATCTGAGTCTATAAATTATGCAAATTATGTTGTCTGGATTATCTTGATAACTATATGAAGTCTATGTGGCTGTATTTTGTTGTCCATCTTCAGATTTCAAGCTATTACATATTTCTTTTTATACCTTTCTTGTATGGCAGTTTGTAAATGAAGCGATTCCATTGGATTATAACCTAGCAAATACAGCCAATCATTTGTCTCTACAGAAAGTAATGTTTACAGCCTTTCTGTCAAGGACTCTGATTGACTGTATTTGCTTTCTTACAATCATATCAAATCACTGCATTTCATGATAGTCAAGGTATAAGTAAGAAAGTTGTGATAGCTTGCCAATGTGAAGATGATTGTTGTCACACATTTACATTTTAATCAGATCTTTGCATTACAAGTGTTTTGGAAAATTTTTCATTGGTAATTTTGCGAAACTATATTTTATGTTCTAAGCATAATTCTTTTTTCTTATTTTAGTTGGTCCTCCATTTGTCTTCTATTTTCGTGTAAAATTTTATGTTTCGGATCCAAGTAAATTATCAGAAGAATATACAAGGTAACATATTTTTGACACTGTATCAGATGGAAATTTAGCCTGACAAATATGGCTCTACTGTTCTTTGGATATATGCATGTGATATCTTCACTGTTAGGGACAGACCTAGAAGGTCACATTTTAGTTGCTTTGATTAACTTTCAGATTGCTAGTCTCTGAGATTTATTTCTTTGACAGTTATACCAGTTGACTAAAAATATTAATTTGTATTTAAGGTACCATTTTTTCTTGCAAGTAAAGAAAGATATTTTAACAGGGAAGTTAGTGTGTGTTCCTAGTCAAGCTGCCCTCTTATCAAGTTATGCTGTTCAATGTAAGTGTATCTGTCAACTTAATTAAAGGGACATTATGATATTTTCTTTGCTCAAATTTTTGAAAACTGCAAAACTGTTTTAACTTAAAAAATCCTGCCATTAATTTTAAACTATTTAAAAGATTTACATTAACTTTTAATTTTGTTTTACTTTTTGAAATGGCTTTAACTAAAAATATTGAGTCTTTATGAGGCCTAACAGCAAACCTAGTTTAAGCTGCTTACTATGCAATTAGTATATTCCATTTTTATATGCCCACATCTCTCTATGTGGACGCATATTGTCAGCACCCCGGTCCATCCGTCGGTCCGTCGGTCTGTCAACATTTGCTTGTAAACGCAAGATTTTTTAATTTTTATTAATTATTAAATAATTATGACACCTTAAGTTCAAAAATGAGGTAATTTCTCTTTTAATTTTGATGTTTTTTTTCTGCAGCTGAATTGGGAGACTATAATCCAGATGAACATAAAGAAGGTTATTTAATGGGATATGTTTTTGTACCAAATCAAACAGAAGATTTTGAAAGACAGGTGGCAGAGAAGCACAAGCAACACAGGTATGTGGTATAGGCAGTGTAATCTAAATTAGACCCATCTTTCATTTTGTTTTTTATTAGCTGTTATTTTTATATATCCATTCTAGTTAGGGTCTTAAGAGGCCACTCTCGTTTCTTAGTATCAATAACCTTTGGCCTATGTTAGGGGCTGTCTCTAGATTTGTGTTAAATTTTGTTCAGCAAGACCAAACGTGTATGTAAATGATTTTTTCATTTCAGGGGTCAGACTCCTGCTGATGCTGAGTATAATTTTCTGGACAAGGCTAAACGTCTAGAGATGTATGGTGTAGATTTACATAATGCTCGGGTAAGGGTAAGCATGCTTTGTCTAGGTGTGGAATAGAGTATAGTTCATTACCTAGCTTTTGTATATTTATATATTGTGTTAATGTGAAATTGTACAAGATACCAAGGGAAATTTCATGTATTCTTCTTTGGCAAACTTTTGATTATTTTTTAAATTGTCCAATTTAAGCTATTACAAACTTTTGTCATGACTACAATAGCCACCTTCCTTGTATCACAGATTGCAGTGATTTGATTGGATTGTACATCAATCATTGCCTTAAACACAAAAAGAGTGTTAACATTATGGCTTATGACTTTCTGAGGAATCTTATTGGTATTGGCATGATGATTGAAACCCAATATTTTACATCTTTTAAAATCTTTTCTCTGTTTTCTACTGTAGTTCCATTCTAATGATGTTATTTTTAACAAATCAAAGTGTATCATGTAGAAGCCGTCATGTGATAAAATAATGATTGTGGATAAGGAAACTTAGAGTAGATCAATATGACCGCATCTTCAAGTTTCACATGTTTCATTACAATACTCTTTGATTGGTTAAAAACAACATTTTTAGAACGGTAGTTTTTTTATATTCTGAGATTTTGATTGACCAAAATTTACATGATAGGTCATTAAGTTGACAGAAATCACCCTTGGTATCACAGAATGAAGTAGAAAGTGGGGGGGGTCTTAACTTGGATTATTTGTGACACTCAATTGGTGAGTTCTCAACAGGTTCCTTTTATTCAAATTGTGCCTCAATTAAACGTTACAGAACCATAGATGTAGCATTTAATATTTACCCTTCTATTCTATTCTATCCATTTTGAATTCTGTTTGCACCTACTTTTATTTCTGCACTCATGGACCCACCAATCGAGTGTCTCCATTAAGTAATGTTGGTGTTTGGTTTTAATGTGTTATAAAAGCCTTCTTGCTACTAAATTGGAATGTATAGATGACGTTAATATAGCAATGGCTTTTAAATATTTATTTCTATTGGTTTTTAAATGCTTAGACCTAGTATGTGAAAGCAAAGCAATCAAATCTGATCAAAGGCGAATGATTTACTTACATCCTGATGTTACATTTTATTCTCTAAATAATAAATGGTTCATTTAAATCTTCAGACCCTTGAACATTGCAAAATCAGCAAATAATTTAAATTGCCATCTCTTGGTGAATGGGACCAAAAAGTCAAAAACCATGAAAGAAATGCTACCTCTACACCTAAAAATTATGTGTTATTATGGCTTATTCTTTAAAGACCTTCTGTCGAGGACTCTGATTGGTTGTATTCACTAACTTACCTTCCAATCAATTTGCTGCATTTACAAACTTTGGTGATTATGTTTGTAATAACTTGATATTTCCAAGGTCATCCTAAACGGTAGCGTTTCTCTCATGTTATATATCATTGTGAAATTGGATGTTCAATTTTTAGATGTTAATTTCACATAAGGTTAAAATTTGTACTTATTACTTACTTATATATTGTGTTTGTAGTTAGTTTTGTATATTTAGTTTGTATATTTATTTTGTTTCTATAAGAGTATGATCGAAGGAGATGTGATAGAAGAGGCTGAATTAGATGTGGTAAAATTAACACTAATATTTTAGCATCAGTTTGTTCATCTTCACAATGTCAAGTTATTATTACTTTGGTATTTAAACCTTGATTGTAATAGTCACCTTTCTTGTATCATGGAAGTTTGTAAATAAAGTGATTTGATTGCCTTGACAGAAAGTTTACAACCTTTGGGTTGAGGGCTCTGATTGGCTGTATTTGCTGGAGTACATACCAATAAAATCGCTACATTCTGTGATACAAGGATAGTGACTATTGCAGTCATTGTATGAATAGGAAGTTTGTAATAGCTTGACACTGTGAAGATGGAGTTTGTTTTAAAATCTCACATCTTTCAATTTATTGTTGACACCATTAGAAGTGTCTACGTCCATCCACGTCCATCTGTACACATTTTGTTTGTTTGTGATTTAATATTTATGATTTTAATACAATAATGTTTTATACATTTTCAAGTTTGGAAAGAAAGAACTCCTGTTGTAAATAGTCTATTTCTTGAAATAATCTGAAATGGACATTTTGAGTTGAAATTTGAGCACCTATCAATTTTGAAGCCCTCAACAATTTCTATTTCTTTTTATGGATTTTATTCATTGTAATGAAATTTGGTAAAGTGTATTGATTTGTTAACAGTGAAATGGGTGTATCTGGAGTTGGTCTTCAATTTATATTTATATTAACCATATTTTCTATTTGTTTTTTTAACACCCCTCTCCATCTCTCTGAGACATTATGTCAAAGTGAAATTTTGCATCTTTGGCCATTTTGTCAAATCTGGTTATCTTAAATACTTAAATGTATTTTGTTCACCAGCTGCTTCAGCTTTAAGTAGTAATTCTTAGATTTTGGTGAAGTTAAATTTGAGTCTATCTACTAAAGGTTCAGACCTAGAATGGAACAAATACTTCATTCTGAGATTGATGAGGTGGTCTAGACTGACTGGGAGACTTGGTAGTTGTTATTTCCTTCATAATCAAATTAACATCAGGGTATCGTAGAATTTAGGTTCCCTTATCTTAGAATTTTCATTATAATTTTGGCAGGAACAATTTCTGCTTGTGTTTATAAATATTAGTAAATGATAATAAGTGGGTCTAGGACATCATAGGATGACCAGAAAATTTGAATTTTTAAGCTTGGTCAATAAGAGTGTATATTTATCAGTGGACACACCTGGTTTCATAATTATACTGAATCTCTGTATAATAACAACTTTAAGTTGTATGTTTATTCTAAGAGATAGTATACCTTTAAATTATTAGGATGTTTAAGATAGGAAATGAGTCAGATTTGTTTATAATATATTCAGTAATATGTTTATATAATTAAGTTAAAGTGATACATTAGGGTTAAAGTTTGATATTTGGGTCAGTAAATTTTTAGATGATGATAATCTTAAGTACTCAGCAGCTCTGTGAAAGACTCAGACCTCCAATGGAGCGTCTGAGAGAGTTCTACCCCAAAGAAAATTTGTGAAAAATGATTGATTGTGCAAATTTCGGGGCAAAAATAAGAAGTACATGTATAAATAATGATATTTTTGAATTTTGAAATGGGGATTTAGGGGGGTACAAACTATTTTCGAAGGGGGGGGGGTAGGGGGGGGTCTATTAGGAGCAAATGTACCTATGCTGGTGCTGCCTTTATCCATTGTAGCCTATCAGATTGTAGATCATACATTTGCTAAAATATGTTGGTGTGTGGCTTAAATAACATGTTTGCTGTATTATACTAAATATTTGGCCTGCTTTTTCAAAATAAAAATATAGTAATAATAATTATTTTCCAGGCATTTACTTGCATTTAGCTTAAAAAAAATGCATTCAGCCTGATTTATCAATATAAAATAATAATAATAATTTTTGCATATATTTGCATAATTTATTTTGTTTTAATTTTAATTAATAAATAATTGTTTTAATATTTTAAATAGCAAGTTGCATGATTTGAATATTAACAAATTTAACTTTGAAGGAGGTGAAACAACTTTTATGACCAGATTTTAAAAGTGGTCTTTTTTTTTTTGTGTTATTTTTTTTATTACAAAATTGGAGAAGAATAAATATAAATTTGGATATAAACCTGGAGCTTTGATTGCGAACAATAATTACTGAAATTGAATTTCAAAATCATTTAAACTATCCAATCAGATTACTGTTTTTCTTAAATCTAGGTTAAAGTTTCAAAAATAAAACCTTTAAGTTAAATTTATGTTGATATTGGACATTGAAGTGATATTTGTGTTATTGTTCTGTTGTTTATTTTCAGGATCAAAGTAATATTGAGATTCAGCTTGGTGTAACTTCTGCTGGACTAGTCGTCTTTCAAAATAATGTTAAAATGAATACCTTTTCTTGGTAAGTTATACATGATTTGTAATTGAGTTTTCTGCTGTTAATGATGCAGTTCAGATAAGGCACATAATGGCTTGTTTAGTATGGAAAGAGGTTTTCTGCTGTTAGTTACATGGTTGTCATGAAAAATAGCACATAATTTCTTTATTTTGAGGCATATGTCAGTGACCTGTACAGATGTATGTATGTCACTTTCAGTTGGTAATTTTTATTCAATAAACTGATCTGACATTAGCTCTAGAAAAAACTGTTTTATTTTTATTTTCACAGGGCCAAAATAGTCAAAATTTCCTTCAAAAGAAAACAGTTTTTTATTCAGTTAAGAAGAGAAGCGGTTAGTAAGATTTATTTAAAGAATACATAAGGTTTATATGATAAGCCTGTAATGTAAAAATTGGACTTACATATATTATCTTATACCACAGGTATTCATTCATTAATGCATTCTTTTATTCATTCATTGGTTGTTCATGGTATACTTCATTCATTCTTTCATTTATTCAATGTTCTTTGTCCATGTCATACTTCCTTGATTCATCATTCATTCAAACATTCATTTATTCATTCATTCAAACATTCATTTATTCATTCATTCAAACATTCATTGATTCATTGTATATATATTATAGAATGATACTGTTGAAAATTTAATTGGTTTCAACATGGTGAGCTATAGATCCTGTAAAAATTTGGGGAAATCATGTGTGGAACATCACACGTTTTTCAGACTACATATCCCTAATCCTGCCACAAAGAAAATCTTTTCTATTGGATCTAAATTTAGGTACAGGTATGTTTCACTACTGTTTGTGTTGTGTTTTCTTTAGTTTTGGTAAGGGGCTAACTTTTTCATTTGACAGTTTGTGTTGCATTAACTGAAAATCATTCCTGTCAAAAGTATATTTTGCTTAGATCATCAACTCCTTTGGTCCAACAGATCCCATTTATGGCTCGTACTTAAAAAAATAACATTTAGATTGAAAATTTACATTAGATTGAAAAGTTATATTTTAAAACTTGAATACAATTATGTGGAAACAAGGCCCAGAATTGAAAAAATCTGATCTAGTTTATTTGTGGTCACTTTCGTATTTAATATAAAATTTTAGGTTTCAAAGAGAGTTTTTGACAAGAATGATTCCAGATTTTTGTTTTTGAAATTTATATTTTACTAACTTTACCTCAATTATTTATTGTTATTCAAATTATATTGGAACTAAATATTTATAATCCTGGACATATATATTAATTATTATTATTACTAAAATCTTATCACAGAAAAATGATTTGAATAATTTTTTTTGTATAACTTGAATTTAGAATTCGTGAAACCTTGGTATAATTAAGCTCTTCCAATAGTTTCTGTACTAATTTGAGACAAGTATTCCAATTCTTATACTTCAATACTAGCTAGATTTCACATAAAAAAAACTCAAATAGGTTTTGTTTTGAGGGCTAAAATTTTCTCCCTAGATCATTAAAGGTAATATAAGAAGTTAAATATTAATCAGAATATAATAATCATAACAGAAAAAAAATATCAACTTAAATTTTGCAGTAAGATGTTCAAAAAAGAGACTAAGAAAATAAAAAAGAGTTCATTGTCATTTAAATAAAGCTTCATTATCAATAAATAGATCCCCTTATCTATAAATAGATCAGACTGTGGTTTACTTTATCCAAATTGCTTTGTTTGAGACATTGAATTTTAACCTATTAAAATGATCTTTTGGATTAGGAATGGGTTACCTGTAATAATATTCTTGAGTATCGCACATATACTGAATCCCCAATATGTGATTTTACATGCTAATCTGACATGATGAAAAATATGTAATAGAAGGGACATGGCCTGGTTCTACCCATAATCTTATAAACTGTCCCTGAATTTAGTTCTATGCCTACCCCTAGTTTATTGATGTACATCGCTTGCAGCATGTTTGTTAGTCCATATTATTATCAATACCCATCATTGTGCACAAACACATTCTCACCCCATTCAGACTGCTTAAATACCTTCTGCTATTGCATGCTTCATTCTATGTTCAAATCTGTGCCTGTGCCTGTGAAATTATAGTGATCATTTCTCATTACTCGTTCCCTGCCAGGGCCGCCACACTGTACATAAGTACATACAATCTGGAAAAGATAAGTACAAACCATTGGGGAAAGATCACTAGAGTCTTGGAAAGATCTCTACAAACAATCTGGGAAAAAATATTACAAACCATTGGGGAAAGATCACTACAATCTTGGAAAGATCTCTACAAACAATCTGGGAAAAAATATTACAAACCATTGCGGAAAGATCACTAGAGTCTTGGAAAGATCTCTACAAACAATCTGGGAAAAAATATTACAAACCATTGGGAAAAGATCACTACAGTCATGGAAAGATCTCTACAAACAATCTGGGAAAAATTATTACAAACCATTGGGGAAAGATAACTACAATTTTGGAAAGATCAGTACTAACAATCTGGGAAAGATCATACAAATTATTTGGGAGAGATCATTACAATCTTGGAAAGATCTCTACAAACAATCTGGGAAAAATATTACAAACCATTGGGGAAAGATAACAACAATTTTGTAAAGTAAAGTACTAACAATCTGGGAAAGATCATACAAATTATTTGGGAGAGATCATTACAATCAATCTGAGAAAGATCGGTTTCAACAATCTGGAAAAGATCATACAAGTTATTTTGGAGAGATCATTACAATCAATCTGAGAAAGATCAGTACTAACAATCTGGGAAAGATCAGTACAAATTACCTGGGAGAGATCATTACAATCAATCTGAGAAAGTTTGGCACAACAAATCTGGGAAAGATCAGTACAAGCAATTTGGGCAGATCTGTACAAAAAATCTGGCAAAGATCAGTACAAAAAATCTAGGAGAGATCAGTACAAAAAATTTGGCAATATAAGTATTTCTATGACATTGACCAGATAAAAGAAAAAAAGCATTGAAACTACATTATGTAAAAAGATGACTTCATATTTGTAAGAAATGTTTACCCTCTCATGGCAAGAAAAAGAAGGAATACATTTTGGACATTTTGAAAATCAAAGGATACCAAATGTTTTTATGAAATACAATGAATCATTAAAAATGAATTAAGATTGTAACAGAACCTGCATGTATCCTATATCAAAACCTTAATAGAATCTCAATTTCTTATCATTTGCATGGCATAATGTATGTAGTGTTTCTATTCAAAGACTAGAAAAATTATATAAATTTCCCACTACCAGCTTATTGGTAGTGAAAAACAAATATTTCTGGACAAATTTTAAACATTTTTAAACTGACTTAAGTTGATTTCCAAAAGTCCAAAATGGAAAACAGGCTTATACATCTATGTGGCATGAAGTATTGTGACTTAATAGGAAATTTGTCTGTATATTTATCTTTTTTTAGAAAGATTTTGATCTTATCAATAACTAATATAGTTATCTGTTATTCACATCTGTTTTTCACAAGTACCAACGACTATTTTTTACAGCGGTCGAACTGAGTACCAAACTCTTGAAGAAGGTAAACGGAGAATGAAAATTGATCGGACTTTTTCAAGGTAAAGATAGAACTGACATGGAATTATTGAATGTAATGTATTTGTATTTTACTGTTATAGTAGTAAATTGTCAGTAGGATTTTGTATTGAGTTGAAAAATATGGAGTTATTGCCCTTTATTTGTCACCACATTGTTCTTTGAAGTAACTAGATTTTGTCCATTATTGAGGTTTTGATTCGATTTTCACTCTAAGAAATTTCTTTTGTTAATATTGGAACTTCTTTTGAAGATACTGAACTTGCAATTGCTATCAGGTAAACAGAATAATAAGATTACTGTAATTTCAGTGAGAGAATTTTAACATATCGCATGACCTTGTATCAATATGTTATGATACTAGGCATAGAAGTCATAATTTATGCACATATCATTTGGCATCATCCAAATGTAAAAGTTAAATTTGCTATCAGGACCATTAAAATTACAAAAAATTAGCTGTCAAAAAATTATCAAAAATTTATCAAAAATATTTTACTTGTAATATTATGGTTTTATGTCTCTACAATTGTATTGAGCACTTTTCAACAGTGAAAATGTTTTGTTATTGTAGATCTCAATTTAGAAATATTAAAACTCTAATCGTGTTGTTACTCAGAGTTTACTCAAATCTAAATTTATACAGTCAAAAAAAATCTCTTTTATAGCAATATAATATGTATCATATCTGTCTAAAGCAATGATTACAGTGATAAAAAAGAATTTTGAATTGATCTAATTTTTATCCAGAATATCCCAAAATTGGCTGACCTCATTGATGTACAAAATCTTCAGTTATGATTGTCACTGGAATGCTTACTGCATTTTTCTAGTAATATATTTATTTGTGTTACATGTTATATAATATTTAGTGGTGTGGTGAGTCTTAAAAACTAGCTCAATCCTCTGATAGGTATTTTGACAGATATCGGCTAGTGTAGGGTTTAGAAAACCAAAATAGTTGTGGTACTATGGGGGTTTTCCAGAACCATATTCAATCTTTTCAACTGATCCTCATGGCTTTAAGATAATATTTTATGTTTGATGAATTGTTGATAAAGAAGAATATACTTGGTAACGTCATCTTCATTTATTATTCTGATACCCAACTGTGAATGGGTACAGATAATCTGGGAGAGATCAAGTTAAGAGGTTTGGCCTAGGACCAGCTGGTAAAAGGATCCTTGTGGACCTAAAGTTGTTATCCTTGAAAAATATAGTTCTTTCTGTCTTAAGTTGGGTTATGAAAAGCTTAAAAAGCTAAAAATGAGTTAATTTCTTCTATCCCTGCTCTAGCTGATAGCCATCAAAGTATCTGATAGGAGGGTAGGTAAAAGTAAGCTAGATTGGGACAATGGGAAATATGGGAAAGGTGTATATATACAAATATAATAAGCATGACATATACTGGATCTGTCTAATATTACATGTGGATGTATGATATATTGAAGCCACATGAATTGTGGACAGTCACTTTTGTTGTTTTTTTACAGTACCATATATTATTTTTGTTGCTAAACCTTTATTAATCCTGATGGATTGCTTCTTGAAGAGCTTATTTGCTTAAAGTTTGTTTTTACCATAATTTAAAGAAATGCGGTTGGATTACTAGTTATAAAACTGGACCACCTAACACCTGAAAATGGACAGCTTTTAAAAGGAATCAGATCTACATCACTAATAAGGGCTTTTTATTTTTTGGCATTCAGACACACAGTGATCCTTATATTAATTTCTATATTATTTTTCTAAAACTTGCTAGGCCTACTTGTATGTATGTGTTAAAATAACTGGTGGAATTCAAGCAGTTTGTGATAATTTCAATGCATTTTGATATTATGCAGTTTGAAGTATGTTGGTGACTGTAACAGATACAGCTATCTACGTATTTGTTGTATCATTACTTTCATCAAATTGTAGACAAACTGGACATCAGATATGAAATGATAAAGAAACTTCAGATTTTCAAAAAATTTCAATCTATTTTCTGCATACTTAGTAGGCACCGTGCATCAAATCCCTTTTTCTAGAATTGATGGTTTGCTTTTGTTTTTGTCACAAAGTTCAAGTTACAAGTCAATGAAATCAACCTGTGCTCTTTTTCAGATCACCAAGTAAACGCTATGCCCGTAGAACAGTAGGATCTGTATCCAGACAGGCCATTATGGACGATAAAAACTTTCATGATGGTTATCGTAATTTATCAAAATCACAAACTTTCACTTCAACCACAGCCAATTCACATCCATTTAATCGTTACGAAGGAGGAGGAGTTAATAGTCATATACGTGCTACCTTACCACCAGATTATAAAACAAGATCATCCTGGATTGAAACTACCAGATCAGATGAGTGAGTAAATTCTTCTATTTGTGAGAGTGTTAAAATGTCAAAGATTTTTGAGTTTTTGTGTTATTGTAATGCTATTTGAGCGTGTGAGTGTGATTTGTTAAGGTTGGCCATCCGTTTGACAAGTCATACCTTAGTCTCTTAAGAGAGGGGTTATATAGACGAAATCCTGCTCCCCAGTCCTTTCATATCTATTGTAAAAAAAAAATACCTTAGTCTCAGAGACATGAATTTTTGTAGCTAAGCTAACCAGTAACATTGTTCAAAGCTTACAGCCGAAATTTTAGCCTACAAGTCCATGTGTGCCAAGAATTATCCATGTTTGAAAGTTAAAATGACAACTCATCTTTACTTGATACTTTATATTGAAAAGACATTATATAAAAAACAAAAATGAAATTTGTAGTTCGAGGTATATATCAAGGGATTATGTGCAGGTCTAGTAGATCTGAAGACTATTTACATATATTCAAGACCAAAAACATCTCTTGATAAAGATTATTAAGAGAAATGCCTTTAATAATATATTATAATATAGTTTATAGTGTTTATTTATTCCTATGTGATACCCAAGGTATTATATATATATATATATATATATTATAGATGTTATTTGATTACAGTATGTAATACTTCCTATATTAGATACTGTTATAATTAGTTATTTGATAACCTATAGTATAGACAATGCAGCCAACCAAAACCCTTGACAGAAAGAGAGCGAATATTTTGGCTCTTTGTTTATAGACTTCCAAGCCCTCTGATTGGTTGTACAATCCAACGAATAAATTGCATTTACAAACATTATACAAGAAAGGTGGCTATTTCAGTTAAGGTATAAGACACAGTTCGTAATTGCTTAAAATTGTACAGGGCAAGGTATTGGTTTGGTTGGGAGGAGGTCAAATTTTGTTCATTTTTTTTGCTTGGCTATTATGATATATTAGATTGAACTTGTTGGCTTGAGAACAAAGTTGCCGAACTATTTGTATTATTGAATAGAAGGTATTTGATATGTAATTTCTATTAAAGAGACAAGTTTGTCATCCTTTCAACCACCATACCTATGTCTCAAAAACATAATTTTTTGAGCTAAGCTAATAAGTAATAGTGTTCACATCCCACAGTTGCATTTGAGCCTTAAAATCCTGAATTATCTGGATTAAGTTAAAATGACTCGTCTTTTCTTGAGACACTGCCTTATATAGATAAGACATATATAGAAATAAAACATGTAATTTCTAGGTAGAGGTATATTTGATTTCGTTCAGTTCTAGTGATTCTGAAGGCTAATTACATCTATTTTAGACCCAAATAAACTCTTGAAAATTGTGACTGTTCACCTTTAACATGCTACTGGACTCTGATTAAATTGGCACCCCTTGACTTTAAGTTCTCCATAGTGTAATAGAACAGTTATTGATTCTAATTACAATAGAGGACTAAATGTCTCTAGTGCAGTCTTTATTATCAGTGTTTGATTCAGACAATAGAGAGAGGTCAATAGCATTATTAAAAATATAGATTTACTTATCTCAGCATAGTTTTTTTTTTACCTTATTTACTTTAATAAGCAAGGGTTACCATAAAGTTTAGGTTTTCAACCACAGGAATATTTGCACCTTTTGTGGGAACATTTGATGTGTCGCAAGCTATGAAAAAAACCCACATCTTATATGAAATATACGGCCTTGGCTTACATTGTTACTGAGTACTAAGAGAATTATTTGCAGCATTTTGTACTCCATACTACCTGAGATATGCCTGATATCCAATCTTAGTTTCACTTTCGATATCTTGGAACATTATTTTTGGTTACACATATAAAAACAGTTGAAAACCACTTACATAAAGATAAGCTATTGTGCTATAGGTTTATATACAGAAACTTTAAATACTTGTAAATGAAACAAGAGGTTTTGGTCGAATTGCAAGAACAACATTTTTTGGGCACCAGTATATAATATATACATGAATTTGCAGGATTAAATTATTAGAGTTAATACAGAAATACGGATATCAAAATGATAATATACTAAGGTTCAGAGTTATAGATACTTTATTAACTAGTTACAATATACACTCATTTAAACTACAATTAACCCCTTTAACTGTCACAACTCTATTCTCAACTACAAAAGGTTTTGGATCCACTTGGAGCCCCATATTGCTTTGTTGTATATGTAACAGTTTAATTCATTGAGAGATTAATTTTCTGGTTGAGTTGGTATTGGATTAATTTAGTTATTAGTCTGCCTAACTACCAACTATTTAAATCAAACACCTTTATAAATACATACTGCTTGACTTCTTACATATTTAGCATAGACCCATACAGGGTTCAATTTACATTGAAACTTTTATTCAGTATCTTGTCACACCAAAATGTCAGCATTGGCTGATCATTTTAAATTTGCATCAAGTCGCACCAAATGTTAGTTTTGGTCAAAACAAAACTTGGTAGTAATTCAAAAGGTTCCAATAGTAGACATCTATGTGGCTAAGTCTGTCTAAAGAAATTTCTTGTGTAAAATTATACTATTTGATGTGATAAATTACAAGTTTGGAACAGAGAAGGCTCAAGAGTTATTTGACCAATGTAATTGTATTCTTAATTTCCCACCCTGCATCTAATACTTTGATTTCAAGTTACTTTTCTTGTATCGCAAAAGTTTGAT